CTCTTCTCTCCCTGTCCCCTTTTATCCCCAACCCACCCCACCCCCAAGATCCCAATTTTGTCCCCGGCAATTTTATCTACTTCCCTTAGCCAAGAGGATAACTATATGTTTTTTCTTGGGTTCACCTTCTTCTTTAGCTTCCATTTAGAAATTTTCTTTGTCTTTGAATCTCTCTTTACTGTATATCTCTCTTTTTCTGACCACATGAGTCTTTAATTTACCAAGCAATATCAGTAGGACTAAAGCTGTGGCTTTGACGGCTGGATCCAGTCCATTCCTGAGCTTTCCAGCCTCATGGCTGAGGTACAACTCTGTGGCGTTTCAAGGTCCTTGCCAGCAAGCAAGCTTCAACAGTATTAAGCAACACTCAAAAGCTCCATAGTTAGGACCGCCTGCTGGAAAGAGTCAGAGTTTGCCCTGGCAGGACAGCCCAGAAAACCGGCATTTTTAAACGGCGCAGCTTTTTTCTTGCTAGGGCTGAAAACCGAAAAGCATACGTTCAGCTTTTCATCAACACCGTTTAAGTGTTTTGTGGCAGAACCTCTTAAGAGCTGCAGGGTTTTGCAGCTGAAGCTGAGTCATGAAGCCGCTCTTAGCTGAGAGCGCTTGCTTGCTTTTAGCAAGCAGAGCAGACCCAAGAAATTGCTGCTACCATGTCGGGCGCCATTCTGTGGGTAGAGTAAACAGAACAGAATGCTGGGAGGAAGAGGAAGTGAGCTCAGAGAGGTCACACTCCCCTCTCCTGGGCAGACGCACGCGATGAAGCAAGCTGCCAGGTCAGACATGCTGAATCTTTCCCGGTAAGACTGGTGCTACACAGTTTATTAGAGATGGGTTGATCGGGATATCAGAATTAGCCAGTAAGGGCTAGAGCTAATGGGCCAAGCAGTGTTTAAATGAATACAATTTGTGTGTTGTTGTTTCGGGTAAATCTAGCCTGTGGTGGGAGCTGGGTGGCAGAGAACACAGCCCGCAGCTCCTATTACAGAATAGGACAAGGTGGAAATTCCAAGCAGATAAAGGAGGAGAGAGTAGGGATCCATGTATCCACAGGAGGAGAAAGACTTCCGTACCAGTAAACCACTAGCCTCATGGTAAAATATAAAACAATAGAAATGGGTTAATTTAAGATGTGAGAGCTAGCTAGAAACACATTAAGCTATTGGCCAAACAGTATTGCAATTAATATAGTTCCTGTGTGTAATTATTTTGAGTCTGGGTGGCCAGTAACAAATGAACAGTCTCCATCTACAATACAAGATTGATTTAAATTTTTAATATTTATCCATTGTTGAGGTGTTAAGGATCAAACCCAGAGCTTCACCTGCTGCACAGGTGTCCTGCCCATGAGGAAGCTAGAGCACTTTCTTAACAGTGCCTCTCTAGAAAAGGCAGAAGATGCAGTTAGAGTTATCTATTTTAAAGGAGAAAGAGGGAAAGGAAGGAAAAGGAATGAATAGACAGGCACAGGACCAAGTATGTAGGGGTTTACAATAGGAGTATTCTTCGGTTAGTCACAAACCAAGTTGTTGGCCAAAGGTCTCTAAGTGCCCTCTGCTACAGTGTAGAAGTTTTTGCGAAGATGGTTACTTAAAACTGGTGGACATTTGTTAGCACATTTTAAAGGTAAGCTAAGGGAAGATATGAAGGTTTCTGACCAGGAAAGGAAATTAGTGAGGAACCTAAAGTGGTCCAGGCAAGCATGTCATGAGAAACTTGTTTTCTTTTCAAATCAGAAGCTACAGGGCTAGTGAGTGATTGGGTTAGCGGTTACTCATTTTGTCTTGGGTGTTTCTGAAGCCAGCCATTTGGCAGCAGATGAAGATGTGCAGTGCTCAGACTAATAACTTAACCATATGAGCAGAGGCTTACGTGAAGCTCCCATCTGAGTGAGCTTTGCATGTGAATTAAGGGAAAGCCATCTCAAGATAGCCTAGCACGAACATTTACAAGACAGTAGTTTCAATCCAGATCTTTAAAGATTCTTCCTCTGTTTAAGTGTTTGTTGTTATGTTCACTGAAAGCTGACCGTGGAAACTATGTTCTCTCTGTTCAGATTGAAGAGTTGGAGGAAAAACTTAATGATGCCCTTCACCAGAAGCAGCTGCTAACTTTGAGATTAGACAATCAGTTGACTATTCAACAGAAGGATGCCAAGTAAGACATGTTTTTCACAAAACCCTAACATTTATTTTCAAACTAAAAGTAATTTTATTCTTGTTTATGCATGTTGTTATAGGCTATAATAGAGAAATTTTAAGTTAGATATGTTTATTATCCTAACATCCAGACCACCAAAGGCCAGGTTGCTTTATCACAGTATACAAATGCACAGTTAACATTCAACATTTATTCAACAAATACTGGCCTTGTAAGTAACCCATACATTACATGAAAAGCTCTCTGGATTGCCCACAATTGGTATCTAGCTGACCTTTTTCTTCATTTACTCTATAAACCATTCTGCGTTGTCACAGCTGTCCAGATTTGCTGTCTTAGGAGACAATTACTATGCCTGTGTATTTTCTCCACTAAAAAGGTGAAAAACAGCTAAGTAAGACATTCTGACATCAGCTTCTGGCCTCTGCGCTGCTAGGATGTGTCAGTGGTTGAATCTCTTATGGGGTTCAGTGTTACTGTATTAAAGAGATAGGTCCTGCAGTACAGGATCAAAGAGAAATTAAAAGTAATAGCTAGAGTCCAAAGTTGATATGTAAGGGTTTAAGACTGTAGCAGATTAAATGTTTATTTGTAATTTGAATTTTTGGTTACAACTTAAGAGTGTTGGTTTCAGTATTTTTTTGGGCTGATACATTTACTGATATATATGAATGTGTCACTTCAAGATTAACTAATTAGATAAATCAACACTAATGATAGCCAAGAGTACTATATGGAACACTGAGAAAAATCTCAGTAATTTTAAAACTTGGCATAAATTCTCTCAATGTAGGAAATATCAAGAACTAATGAAACAAGAAATGGAAACCATTTTATTGAGACAGAAACAACTGGAAGAGACAAATCAGCAGCTAAGAGAGAAAGCTGGAGATGTCCGTCGAAACCTGCGTGACTTGGAGCTGACGGAAGAGCAGTATGTGAAGCTAAAATCCTTTCCTGAAGACCAGCTTTCTATCCCTGAATATGTGTCTGTAAGTGTCGTGCATCTTCCGTAACACTGCAGCCGGGGAGAGTGGCACATGCTGTAATCTCATCCTCGGGGCATGGGGACGTGGAGATCAGCGCCTCCACCTATGTAGTGGTTGGAAGTCGTCCTGTACTATTGGAGTCCCCATCTCAAAAAAAAATACACAAAGTTCCATCCATTCTCAGACTGAAACTGGCATTATATAGAGGCACTCTTTATACAGTTTTTATTTTTATATTTTACATTAGCATACAAAGTAATGAGTTCCTTTTTGATTGTGTACGTGGCATTATGTGTTCTCTCCAAGTCTCCCCTATGCCTCCTGTCCTCCCTGTAACCAGTAGTCTCCTCTTCTGCTTTCCTCTTTCATGTCACAGGTGGCCTCCCTCTCTGTTTCCTCATGTCCCCTTCCTGGCTTCATAGATTACACGCTTAATTTCAAATTAGGTACAACACAGAAGAGAAAGCGTAGTGTTTGTCTTCTGAGTCTGGCTGGGTAAAGAAAGGAGGCAGGAGGAGATGTATGAAGGAGAAGCAAGCTTAAATAAAAGAAAGGAGACAGTGGAGGACTGTTACCGGGGAAGAGAAGTGAGTAAGAGGGTAGAATAGAAAATAGATTTCTCAATTATGAGGAAGTTTAAAAGCAAAGGTAACTGTAAGAAGGGGTAGAAATAGAGAGATGCAAGAATTTTAAGCAAGGTGTAGTCAGAGTAGAACAAAAATAAAGGGAGATATGGGGGGAAATAAGAAAAAGATAATGGCCTAATGAAAAAAATATGTCAACAAAGTTAGATGCATATTTGTAGAATATAAAACAAATTTTTAGTACTGTAAAATTAAAAAATGCTGCCAGGAGGTGGTGGCTCATGCCTTTAATCCCAGCACTTGGGAGACAGAGACAGGCGGATCTCTGTGAGTTCGAGGCCAGCCTGGTCTACAAGAGCTAGTTCCAGGATAGGCTTCAAAGCTACAGAGAAACCCTGTCTCAAAAATACCAAAAAAAAAAAAAAAAAAAAAAAAAAAAAAAAAAAAAAAAAAAAAAAAAAAAAAAAAAACCCAGTCAAAAAAAAAAAAAAAAAAAAAAAAAAAAAAATTAAAAAAGTGCACCAAAAGGGGAAAAAATCAATAATAGTAAAAAAAAAAGTTTAAAAGCAAAAGAAGAAAGAGAAAAGAAGAACAAGAAAAATGAAGTGTTAGAGCAGCTTCTTGCTGGGCCTCAGAAGTTGGAGACTGTCAGTTATAGCCATGGAGACACATTTGCTCATGTGGGCTCTAGGCTTTCCTGTGGCTTAGGCTGTTTGGGACATTATACCGGACACATACCAGGTGTCTCTTTACTTTGGTCACTTTGTGTGCCAAAGATCCTTGCTGGTATAATTAACTTTATAGTCTTTTGGTGTGGCCCACGGTCTAGTGGTTGGAGATATCGCCCAAGGGTGTTAGTAATGTGAGCCGCATCCCCAGCAGGTCTGTGTAGGTAAGAACCTGGCTTTGTACTTGCCAAACCTATAGAGCTGGATCCTGCTGGCAGGATACAGCTGTGGGAATGAGTCGTACTGCAGGAACTTCAGAACTCTCGGGCTCTGCAGTAGTGAGTGGGACATTGGTGGCTTCAGCAGTTGATTGATGCATCTGTCAACATCAGGCCCAGAGCTGCCAACACTAGGACTGGTTCTAGCTGAGACAGTGAGCTGGGTCCTGGTCACTGCGGGGAGGGGGGGTAGGACTGTATTGCTGTGTATAGTTCTCATCCTGAACCATGTGGGGTCAACTTCCAGTCACCCCAATCTTCACTGTTGCCTGTTCCCTGGGGCTTTTCCTCATCCTGTGTTGTTGCAGACCAAACTGAGACTTTGTGACTTATGATTGTTTGGAGTTCTTAGGCCCCTAATGTTGCAACAGTAGGCCCGTCTCAAAGTGACTGTTACTTGCCACCCACTGAGTCTTATGGAAAGACAGCAGTTCTCCCTCCACTGACCCACTGTGGTAGGGATGAGCGTCCCGCTGAAACCTTTAACTGGATTTGAGGTTCTCGAGGACTCTGGGCTTGTCCTGAGGTGCACCTGTTGAAAGACCTTTTGGGCCCGCACCCTCTCCTGCTTGAGTCACTTTGTATGTGTTATCTATGTGACTGGTTCATATGCACATGGGTGTGCATGCATGTGGAGGCCAGAGGACAGCCTTGGGTGTTACTCAGGCGTAGCCTTATTATTTATTTACTCATTCATTTGTTGAGACAGAGTCTCAGTGGCCTGGAACTTGCCAACCAATTAGACTAGTGAACCCCAGGGATCTGCTCGCCCTGCCTCCTCAGCACACATAATAATCATGAGCCGCCACACCTGCCTCTGTTACATGGCTTCTGGGTATCCAGCTCAAGTCCTCCTGCTTCTGGGACTTTGACTGTGGTCTTCCCAGCCCCTCAGCTCACTTCCTTACCAGTCCATGCTCCATCTTTTTCCTGCTCCTTTCAAGTATCCATTAATTTCCTTAGTGGTGTCCGACCCCTTCCTTCTTTGGGGTTGTCTTGTTTATCTCACTGAATCTCCCCCTCTAGCTCATCCAGAACCAAGTTCAGACCTATATCCCAAGGGTATTACTTTTGAAACACCCAACTGGTAGTGTTTTTTGACCCCCATGAAAATGGAAAGTACCTCTAAGACCAAAATCTCAGTGGCTCCATAGTCCATAAAATGAGTTATTTTATCGTGGTTTTAATATTCTCTAAGGGGAAACAGGATGAACCGCATTAGTACTGTCTGGGATTAACTAGAAATAGTGCAGAGAGAGTAGACCTTTTGTGATTGTTAAGGGGTAAAGGTGGAGCAGAGTTTTTGGTGATAGATTAGTTCAGAATCTAATATTCCTAAATGAACTTGGGCTTAGGCTTAATATTTGGTATGAGTCTCAAGTCACTGTGGTATCAGCACCCCCTTCTGGCCTAAAGTGTTTTTTTGATATGGGTATATTTGCAATATTTGAAATTAAACCTTAAGGAAACAATTTATGTACAAGAAGGGTTGGGTATGATGTGCTATAATGGTGCTTGTCTGAAGTCCTAGTACTTAGAAGGCTGGACCAGGAGCATCTCTAGAAACTAAGGGTTTAGATAAAGCAAGACTTTATCTAAAAACATAAATAAAAATACAAAATTAGATGCATTTTCTATTTTCTTTAAAAATTACAGTGTCATCATACATCATATAGAGAATGGGAAAATAAGAATTGAATTGAACAAAATAATTCCTACTGTAACTAGGAATATTTTTTATTTTGTGAATTCCATAAAAGAAGTGAAAACAGGGCAAGGGCCAGGAGTCCCCAGAACACTGACAGCTGTTGCATTTTTGTGTTAGGTAGGATTTTACCCTGTGAGCCTTCTCTTTTTCCCATTTATAAAATAAATCCTAACTGTGGGTATGTAAAACACGTCAAACGCTTAGCACCGTGCTCTGCGTGTCTGATGTCAGTTCTCCCTACTGTCCGCCAGAGTGGGAGCTGTTCTCGGGTCTCAATGGACTGAGGTTTCTGGATCAGTGACTTGCAAGAAAACCAGACATTAGCTTTCTGCCCGGCTTTTGGTGATTGAAATGGGTCAGTTATAGTTTTTCTGACTAACACATACTGTCTAAAACAAATATTCTAAATGCCATCATTGGAGCTTCATTCATAGTTCAAATAAAGTACATACATTTTTTCCTTCCCAGTTTTAGTATTCTTTCACACTTTTGCATGAAATATTATTTTAACTGATTGATGTAGATTTCACTGCCTTAAGGACCAACCTAACACTTGACTTCTTATTAGAGTATTTTTGCAGTACAGTCTTATGTCAAGGACTTTAGATTATATGCCTATGTAATAAGTAATCCCTAATTGCTCTCTCCTGACTTGTTGATGGTTTCTTAGGTTCTTAGAACCTGTATTTTCAGCACTTGGGTTAAGACAGGAAAATGAAGAGTGGAAATAGTGATAGGGAAGGCACTTTTTGATTCATCCCCTAGACCTCTTAATACTACAGTGTTGCTAGGAGCCTGAGATAAGAGCAAAGAATAAAATGTATCTCTTCATCAAATTGATATTTCAGTTGACAGAGCAGTCTATAACCAGATAAAATTCCTGCCTTCATAGAGCTTGCTTTGTGTAGAAGCTAAAAAGCGACAGATTGAAGTGTAGTATGTAAAATGTCTCCTAAGTGCTTTGGAGAAAACAAGCAGGGTGGAGAATAAGGAGTTCAGTTAACTGTAGGCTATGTTGTTATTTAAGGTCAATTTGATTTACTAGTGATGTGTGTGTGAGGAATGTATTCCAAGTCTGCTAGAGGATAGTGTGACTCCTTGGCAGCCTATTGTGTTTCCTGTATATGTATATCTGTGGTGAGTTTTATATAAGATACTGGCAACAGAGCTAACAAAAACAATTATAACAATATGCCTTCATAAAATTTCTTGATGGATTCCCAGAATTTTCCGGTTTATATCTTTACCATAATGGACTGAGAGTAAATAAAAAGCAGAGGGAGAGCAGCCAGGGTATCCTGCCCCACTGCAGACTGGCAGAGCCCAATTGTGGTTTGGGTTCCGGATTGCTTATTTTTCTTTTCTTTTTTTTTAAAGATTCGGTTCTATGAGCTAGTCAATCCATTAAGAAAAGAAATATATGAACTACAAGTGAAAAAGAATGAACTGTCTGAAGAACTCAGCACAAACAAAGGCCAACTGAAGCAGCTGACAGAGGTTTGTTTGATTTCTATTACTCTTGGGAAGATGTTGCGGCTTTCCCACAAGGCCCTAGTCAGTGTTTGTGGGAAGGGGTGTGAAAGTGCTAGGAACAGGGGCTAGGATACTGACTGCTGCAGCTCTTAGTAAGCTGAGCAGGAGCCAGTTGCACGTCTCTCTTCAAAACTGGCACAATAAAGGTGCTTTAGCCCGTAATCAACGTATACATTTGTTGTCGTAACTCATTTTCACAAGCAAGTGCTTTCAAGACCACAAAACCAGCCATATCTGAATGTTCTTGTGCAGTAAACATGCACACAGAACTATATAATTTTTTTTGCTTTAATATATAAAATATGGATGCCATTAGTAGGAAGAAAAAGAATGTATTTGACTTTTTTTTCCTGCATTCTCCTTTGGCAGAACAGTCTTCACTATTGCTGGCGTGTAAGGATTAGTAACAGCCATGCTATTTTAGAAGTATCTTATTCTGGCTGGTGGATTATAAGGCTAGTGTGCTTACAACCCTTCACTTACAGAGGCTGCACTGATCATTAGTTGGATTACAACACTGCCCAAATATCCCAGAGTGTCACCATGTACTTACCGGCAAAATGAAAAATAGTGATGGACTGATTCATTGTACTCTATAACAGCTTCAAAAAAATAGGATTGCTGTTTTCTCCAAAAAGTTCATGAGACCAAAAGGAAAACAAGCTTATAGTTTACAAGTAGAGTACAGCAGTTGTTCATTAGTGGTTAGCCTTGTCTGTGGTATGAAAGGAAGCTACAGTCAACGTGTCGGTCATTCCTCATCAAATGCAATTCTCTCCAGCATGTGTATTGTTACGAGTGTTGGCCCTCCATGTCATCAGTGTGCATGGCACTGTTCTAAGTGCCAGCAACAGTGAGAGACAATGCCCTCAGAGACTTTAAATTCTAATTCACTCAAGTGTCAGATTTGAGCATTCTAGTTTATTCTGTGATCTTGAGCAAAGTCATTTAACGTTTCTTTTCAAATGAAGAAAAATAGTTCGCCCTGTTCTTTCATTGGATCCCCTATGTTTCTATTTGATGGTAAATGGTTATCTTACAAGGTTTTGTGCAAATATGTATGTGATGTGTCGTATTTCAAGGGTACGACTTTCAAAGCTCTGTTACCCAGAAGTAAGTCATTATGTTAGTATAGATTTTTAGTACTATACCTTTGGGATTTTGAGCAGGAAGGAAGGGTCTAGCCCAGTCCCAGCCTGACCTATGTCTTGTGCCATCATCAGCAATAAGGTCTCTTACCATCTCGTTCTGGTGGACAGCAACAGCAGCGACAATTGCCTAGCATGCTCTGGGATTCTGTGGCCAGCCACTCACTCAGAAGTAGCTCTGGGATTTTTGTCTAGTAACCAGTGATTTCTGGATGCAACTTTATTCATCCACAAAGCCGTTCTGTTGTTTTCAATTTTTGATTATTTATCAAATATCAGACTGCCTCATAGCATTTTCTTATATCATTAGTTTTTGCTGACTCTCCCCTCACGTCTCTTTTATCTCCCCTGCACCGCTCCCAGAACTTGAAGAAAATATGAAGCTTTAGAATATTGTTGGTTGTTTTAGTAGTTTTGACTTCTTGCCCTTAGTCAGTCTTTATCCCTGAGGAAGAGGTGGAGTTGGGAGCCTAGAAACGAAAGGCAGGTCGCTGGGAAGCCAAGCTTAGCAAAGATACAGAAAGACTGTGATATAATAAGTGAACACCAATAACAGCTAATAAAAATTAGTGAAATTGAAAAAATATCAAGGAAGTTATTGACTTGAAAGAGAATGCCTTCTATATAAATATAAGTTCAAATACAAAAACTCTTCTAGCAACTGATGCCCAGGGAAACTTCTAAGTGAAGGCAGCAGTTGAAAAATAGAGATCTCAACAACAGCTTGGTAGTGACTTACTAAGTTCAGACATTATTTGCTACGTCTATGAATTTTGAGACTGGTAATTAAGGAATTAAACTTTTGTTATTTTGAAACTGTTAACTTGCCTGATTCAAAATGGTCTTAGTGTGTGTTTTAACCACATGGTGGCAGTATATACCCACCTATCTTTTTTTTTTATAATATAATTTTTTTATTGAAAAAAAAAAGATTTCCGCCTCCTCCCCGCCTCCCATTTCCCTCCCTGTCTCCCTTTTCCCCCCTCCTCCCTCTCCTCTCCCGCTCCCCCCCACTCCTCTCCCCCTCCCTCTCCAGTCTGAGGGGCAGTCAGGGTTCCCTGCCCTGTGGAAAGTCCAAAGTCCTCCCCGCTCCATCTTGGTCTAGGAAGGTGGACATCCAAACTGGCTAGGCTCCCACAAAGCCAGAACATGAAGTAGGATCAAAACCCAGTGGCATTGTCCTTGGCTTCTCAGCAGCCCTCATTGTCCGCCATATTCAGAGAGTCCGGTTTTATCCCATGGTTTTTCAGTCGTAGTCCAGCTGGCCTTGGTGAGCTCACAATAGATCAGCCCCACTGTCTCCGTGGGTGGGTGCACCCCTCGTGGTCCTGACTTCTTTGCTCATATTTTCCCTCCTTCTGCTCCTCCTTGGGACATTGGGAGCTCAGTCCAGTGCTCCAGTGTGGGTCTCTGTCTCTATCTCCATCCATCTCCAGATGAAGGTTCTATGGTGATATGCAAGATATTAATCAGTATGGCTATAGGATAGGGTCATTTCAGGTTCTCTGTCCTCAGCTGCCCCAGGAACTAACTGGGGACATCGCCCTTAAGGATATGCTCAACCTCCTTAGCGATCAGGGAAATGCAAATCAAAACAACTTTGAGATATCATCTTACACCTGTCAGAATGGCTAAAATCAAAAACACCAATGATATCCTTTGCTGGAGAGGTTGTGGAGAAAGGGGTACACTCATCCATTGCTGGTGGGAATGCAAACTTGTGCAACCACTTTGGAAAGCAGTGTGGCGGTTTCTCAGGAAATTCGGGATCAACCTACCCCTGGACCCAGCAATGCCACTCTTGGGAATATACCCAAGAGAGGCCCGATCATATGACAGGGGCATTTGTTCAACTATGTTCATAGCAGCATTATTTGTAATAGCCAGAACCCACCTATCTTTAAAACAAACAAAAAACTACTTTAGGGTATTTGAAAAATCTTGGTTTTAAACCAGCACTGAACTGACTTGCCTTTTATTTGTATTTCATATTTCCAGTCATCTGCCTACAACATCAAACATGCTATTTTTCCTAGTAAAGTTCAGTAATTCTATACCTATGAGAAATATGAAAAACAAAAACCTTTCTTCCATAATATGTTCTCTTCAGATCAAAGATCCTTCAGTCATTACACCAATTTCATAACTGTCCCTACCAAAACACTGAGAGATATTAAAGCAACATAACTGCAAGTTATAGCAGGTAGAAGGTGAAAAAAGTTCCAGGCACTTAATAAAATACAATTTTTGATCTTTAAAAAAGAACCAAAAGAACAAAAGGAAAGAAAGGAAGTAAGGAAAGAAGAGAAGAAAAGAAAAGAAAAAGGAATAACTTCCTATTAACTTTCTATGCCAATTTTAATGGACTCCTGGGATTTTGTCATGTATTTTTTCCTAGATCTCTAATTATTTGGAATATGTAGATACTATAGGACAAAATGCAATTCACTTTTTACTTTAAGTCTGTCATTTCTAAGTGTAGTAGAATTCAACCCTGCTTTGAGCTGTGCTATATTTATAAACTTGTCTGTGCTACTTAGTGTGTAAGTGCTTGTAGATATTTTTATTATAAATCTCCCTTGTGTGTATCTATGATTGGTGTATGAACACATGCATGTACAGCACTCAGGCCAGAAGGGAACATTGGGAGTCCTGCTCTGTCATTCCATGCATCGTGCCTTTCAGGCAGGGGCTTTGACTGGACCTAGAACTAGACTGTCTGCCCAGAAGCCCCAGTGATCCTCTGTCTTCTGCTTCTCATACCACTGAGGTTGAAGGTACACTTAATGTCAGCTCTTTATGTGGTTACTGGGCCTTTGGACCGAGGTCTTCATGCTTGCACAGAAAACCCCTTTTTCCCGCGAGCCATATGCAGTGCAGCTAAGGTGTGTGCAGCCATTTTGCTATTGTAGAGTGGATGCAGTGCTAGGCAGTGTGAACTGTACTAGGTAAGGCCTTCCTTCAGCAGTTGACACTAATGCCCTAAGTTCATGAGGACATAGTGAAACACATCTCATGAGAGTTCTGTAACTAGGAAGTAAAAATATGTTTTGTTAAACACAGATTCCTTGTTTAGAACCTTGGTTACATTTCTTGAGAAAAACTCCCACAAGATTACCTAGAGGCTAATCATCAGTATCTCTAGATGATTAAGATAGCTAATTTAATTTGTATGGAAGTGAGGTGTTTCATTAATGATACATACTTGTTTCAGTGTTATGTTTCAGGGATGATAAACTGCCTTCTCAAATTCTTTTTTATTCTGTTTATTTTATAAGCTTAAATTTCCTTTATGGGGTACTTTCTTAAGACACTACCAATCAGACCCAATTATTCTAGAGTATGGAACATTCATTAGGAAACAATAATATATTTGCCTCTTCACAATTAAATTAATTGCTTAAACTTTCAATTCATGGACAGCCACATGGATTCCAATTCTAGTCTGAGGTGGAACTAAGGATCTCATTTTCAATAAAACTCAAGAGTCTAGTAAGGTAGGTATGTGTTCTTGAACATGAATCTAGTGAGACAGGTATGTGATGTGAACGAGAGTCATTTGAAAATGTAAGAGCTGTCATTTGTTCATTTATTGATAATATCTTTGCATTTTAAAGTCAAGTGTCAGTGCTTTGGTTTCATATTTTTCACTTTTGTCTGATATAAAAGTAACATCTTGAATATTTTACTATTTAATGTGAGGATAAGGTTGTAGTCACACTGCATAGTTTGTTATTACTAAATCTCATTTCTTACCTATACATTTAAAATCTATTTCTTTTTTTCTAAAACCTGTTGAAATTTTACGTGTAATGC